CCCCCCCCCGGGAATACCCGGGTCAGAGGACCTGGGCCCAAAGGTGCCAGACTTGGCACCTGTGTGACGCTGGCACCTGCCCTCCATGTGTCCCAGGCCACACCCCACCACGGGGTCTACTCTCGGGAGGAGGAGCTCCTGCGGGAGCGGAAGCGCCTAGGCGTGTTTGGCATCACCTCCTACGACTTCCACAGCGAGAGCGGCCTCTTCCTCTTCCAGGCCAGCAATAGCCTCTTCCACTGTCGGGATGGGGGCAAGAACGGCTTCATGGTGAGACCTGGTCCCTGACTGGGGGTGGGTAGCCGGGGGCCCGGGGTCCTGCCCCCTGAGCCGGGCCTCTCTGTCCCCAGGTGTCCCCCATGAAGCCACTTGAAATCAAGACCCAGTGTTCCGGGCCCCGGATGGACCCCAAAATCTGCCCTGCCGACCCCGCCTTCTTCTCCTTCATCAACAACAGCGACCTGTGGGTGGCCAACATCGAGACGGGCGAGGAGCGGCGGCTGACCTTCTGCCACAGGGGTGAGCTGGGCAGAGGGCACCAGGTCCTGGCCGGGGTGGACAGGAACCTGCACCCAGGAGTGTGGTCTGTAGGGCCGGGACTGGGCCAGCACTTCTTGGGAACGGCCATCGTAGCCAACAGTTCAGCTTCTAAAAGGTACCCTGCCCCCACTCCACTCACCCTGACCACCAGGCACCTTCCTGGACCCTGCTGACACACACTACCCTCCCATGTGGCGTTCCCCGCCAGGCACTAACTGTGCACCTCTGCTCACTCGGCCCCTCCCACCTCCACTCTTCTGTCAGACTCCCATCGGGTCAAGCTCAGATCTCTTACCTGCTCCCCAAGTTGCCCTCATGCCCCTGCACACCAGGAGTGATCTTCCCCTTCTGCAGATGTCTGCAGAGCTTTGCACCCGGCATGGCCTCAGATCGTGGATCCCCACCTGCCCGTCCTGCCCCATAGCCCCAGTGCCCCTGCTCTAAATCCGAAGGGCTCATCCAGGAGCAACTCAGGCACTTGCCATGCCCAGGGACACTTCTAGTTGTCACAGCTGGGTGAGGATGCTCCTGGGATCAAGTGGGTGGGTCAGGGATGTTGCCTAACATCCCACAGTACCCAGGAGGGCTCCACAGAGAGTGACCTGGCCCTGATGTCACCAGCGCCAAGTGGGGAGAGAAACCTGTTCTAAACTAGACTCCTCATCTTTTGCCTGCCTCTCTCCCCCTCCAGGCTTATCCAATGTCCTCGACGACCCCAAATCTGCAGGCGTGGCCACCTTTGTCATCCAGGAAGAATTTGACCGCTTCACGGGCTACTGGTGGTGTCCCACAGCCTCCTGGGAGGGTAGGCCCCTTTCCATTTTTAAAAATGCTTCTATGCACACATCTTTTAGTAAGAGAGTCACAGTTTACATGCTTTTCTGCTCTTTGCTCTTTTCACTTAAAAAACTCCTCAGCCACCTTTCTGTCGATATCTGCATCTCAGTCCATTCCAGCTGCTATAACAATACCACAGACCTGGGGTTTATAAACTGCAAAGATTTATTTCTCACAATTCTGGAGGCTGGAAGTCCAAGGTCAGGGTGCCAGCAGATTTGATATCTGGTGAGAGCCTCTTCCTGGTTCATAGCCAGTGCCTTCTCGAATTGTCCTCATCTGGCAGAAGGGGTGAGGGAGATTTCTGGGGCCTCTTCTATAAGGGCACTGATTTCACTCATAGGGGTCCACCCTCAGGACATAATCCCCTCCCCAAGGCTTCTCCATGTAATGCCATTATATCGGGGGGTAGGATTTAACGTTTGAATTCGGGAGCACACAAACATTCAGCCCATTGCAGTCAGCACACAGAGAACACTTTAATGACTATAGAGGACCCTGCAGCGTGAATGTGCCACGGTTTATTGAGCTAGTTCCACACTGACGGACACTTTAGTTGTTTCTACTATTGGGTTCTGGTTTTACTTTGGTGTTTAAACAATACTCCGGTGAGCATCTTCATACCCACGTCCTGGTGGGTGACCTTCTGGGATCCTGTCAGTGGTTCTCAGCCAGAGGCGTTTCTGCCTCCATGGAACACTCCACAATGTCTGGGGACGTCTGTGGTTGTCATAACTGAGTTGGAGCTGAAGCATTACTACTCCCAAACCACATGGTCTCAGGTCAGCCACTCAGTCCCTTGGGCCTCCGGAGCTTCACCCGTAAAGCAGGTGTGGAGCGGGCCCCACCTGCAGCAATTTTCCTGGAGACACCTTTGCTTTGTCCACAGTGAGTCTTAGGTGAGGGTACAGGAAGCAGCAAATGGGGAACCTTGTCAGCAGCCGAGGAAGGAAAGGGTTTGTCTAGGAAGGAATGGCCATGGGCTTCGTCCTATGACATCAACATTGCCAGTCACTGTGTTCCTTTCTGAGCTGTCACCACCCAGTGATTTACTTCTAAGTAGCGATCTTTACAGTAATCCTTTTTGAGCCCTGTGTTAATCAGCTTGGGCTGCTTTACGAAGTCCCACAGACTTGGTGGCTTAAACAACGGACATTTATTTTCTCATAATGCTGGAGGCTGGAAGTCCAAGATCAAGCTGTGGACAGGGCTGGTTTCTCCTGAGGCCTGTCTTTTGGGCTTGTAGATGTCTGTCTTCTCCCTGTGTCTTCACATACTCTTCCCTCTGTGCATGTCTGTGTCTTAATCTCTTCTTATAAGGACACTGGTCCTACTAGACTAGCGCCCACCTTAATGACCTCATTTTACATTAATCATCTCTTTGAAGACCCCTGTCTCCAAATACAGTCACATTTGGGGTTAGGACTTCGACATAGGAATTTGGCAGGGACATAACACAATTTAGCTCATAGAAACCCCACATGGCCACCTCCCATGCCATTTGCACTGGGAATAGCTTAGTTCTTGTCCCCATTGCACAGGTAAGGAAACCGAGGCCCTAAGAGGAGACACAACTGGCTAACTGTCTAGTAAAGGGCAGAGCCAGGGTTCTAGCCGCAAGGCTCACGCTCTTGTGTGGACCCCGCTGTGACAGAGCAGGGTCCCCCATGTGCACAGGAGGCAGTAGGACTCCTGGCACCCTCAGCAGTATCCCCTGCCCCCTCCCAGGTTCAGAAGGCCACAAGACACTGCGGATCCTATATGAGGAGGTTGATGAGTCCGAGGTAGAGGTCATTCATGTGCCCTCTCCTGCACTAGAAGAAAGGAAGACAGACTCGTACCGATACCCCCGGACAGGTGAGTGCCCAGGACAGGTGAGGGTGGCTAGGCAGTGGTCTGAGTCCTAATAGAGCAAGGTGAGGCACCGACCAGGATGCGCCTAGAGGATCCAGAGAAGCAGGCCGAGCTCAGGAACAATGGCAGGGCCACACCAAGCTCGGTGGTGAACGACTCCCTGCCTTGGGGCCCAGGAGGCAGTAAGAGTTGCGGGGAGACAGTGAAAGGTGCAGGCCCCATCCTAGGATGCGCCAGACACTTACCACCTTGTGAGAATACAGACTTGAGTTTGTCCCATTTCTCAAGAGAAGCTGGAAATCCAAACGCATCTGAGAAATCTCCCAATTCTTAAATGTCACTCGAATTATTTAAAAATACTTAGTGAGCCAAACAAAGTGTACATACAGGCCAGATACAGCCTATAATCCCCTTGTTTGTGACCTGCATGGAAGCATGTAAGAGTCATTGTTGCTAACCTGCAGGGAGCACCTACTGTGTGCCATGCTTGACAGAGCCTTCCTTACAAGGTATTTCCAGCCTCCTGCCCCCATGCAAATGGGAAAAGTCAGTCTCCCCGCCTCCCCATTTGACACCTGAGAAAACTGAGGCTCAGAGACGTTCCCTGCCTGGGGTGCTAGAGCCATGAAGGCCAGAATTGAGATTTGTCATAGCAATAACTGGAGCCTGAACCAACCCCACCTCCGGAAGCATGTCTTGGTTGTCTATATGCCTCCTAGTGGCTCAGGGCCATGACTGCCATGTGGGCTGTGTGCCACCTTTCTTCATAGGTGGTTTTATGCATGTGTCCCATCTTCTCGGCCAGATTTTAAGCTCTCCACAGGCAGGCAGGTGTCTTCCTCATGTCTGTGTCCCCCACGACCTCCCCATCAGCACAGGGTCTGACCTGTGTTTTTAAACCATAAAGAGGTTGTCACGTCACTGTCTGGAATGAGGTCCGGGCCCAAAGTCAGAAAGTCCTGCCCAAGGACTTTGTGCCTGGACCAGAGAGGGTGCCATGCCCACGGAGCGACCTTTGGACATCCTTCCTCCCTCTCCACCCCCCACACTGCCTGTGTCACCTTTCTGTGGGCGTCACCCTGTACCCTCGGCCTGCTCTCAGCCCACTTGGGCGACACCTGCTGGGCTTACCTTGCTTTTATTTCTGTAGGCAGCAAGAATCCCAAGATCGCCTTGAAGCTGGCCGAGTTTCAGACTGACAATCAGGGCAAGGTAAGAGGGGCCAGTGTACCCCGAGAAGCTTCCGGATGAGAACAGTTGCTGGGGTATGTGTTGGAAGTGGGTAGATAGTTGGACAATATCAGCAAGCTGCTCGTCACCTTCCCGGGGGCAGGTGCTCCCCTTGGCCAGCTGAACCTGAAAAGGCATTGCCCGGAGCCCCAGCTTCCAGGCCGAGGCCTGCTGCCCCCTATCACTGCAATTCACTCTGAAATGACAAGAGGTCCCCATCACTCAGAGTTGTTGCTCAGGTCCCTGTAGCCAAGAGGGCAAGAGAGGCTGTGGCTGAGAAGGGCTGTAGGGACGGAGACACCAGGTGTCAAAAGGAAACACTCTACATGTCAGAGGTTAGAGCTCAGATAAGCCGAGAAAGCCCTTACATATTTTTAAAACGTGAGATAAAATACGCTTCGTTTTGTAGTTTGGGGTCGGTTTTTGTTTGGGGCACAATTAGGCCCTAACCAGATCCCTTCTCCACTCTTGACCAGAATATTCTAGCAGATGTGACATGGATCTGCCCTAAGTGGCTTTGTTTTAAACAGTCCCTGGCCCTGCAGGCAGTAGTGTGGGTTATGCCAACGGAGCAGGCAGCCAGGGGACGGGGTGGTGCCCGCTGGAGTGTGGGATGTGCTAAGGCCTTACCTGCCTCTCTCCCCTTGACCCTCCTGGGGAGATGCCGTGCCAGCTCAGTTTAGGCTCCAGGAAGCTGTGGAGTCCAGAGGCTGTCTTGCCGAAGGCCACCTCACTCTCCATTGACAGCCTGTACCAGAATCCCTGGTTTTCAGCCACCAGGCTGTCATGACAAAGCGTCACAGACTGGGCGGCTTAAACAGCAGAGTTTTATTGTCTCCCAGTTCTGGAGGCTCCAAGTCCAAAATCAAGGTGTTGGAGGGCCAGTCCCTCTGAGGCCGTGAGGAAGGATGTATTCCAGGCCTCTGTCCTAGGCTTGGAGACGGCCGCCTTCTCCCCGTGTCTCGTCACAAGATGCTCTCTGCCTGTGTGAGGCATGTGTCCACATTTCCTCTTTTTATAAGGACACCAGTCCTGTTGGATTGGTGCCACCCTACTCCTATGTGACTTCATCTTAACTCATTACACCTGCAGCCGCTCTCTTTCCAAATCAGGCCCCATTCTGAGGTACCAGGGGCGAGGACTTCAACATATGGATTTGGAGGAATTCAGTGTACCCCTAACCATGGCTCATGGGTAACATGTGGTCAGGCAGGAGTGTGACCCGAGTCTGTCTTCCCTCTAGATCATCTTGACCCAAGAGAAGGAGCTGGTGCAGCCCTTCAGCACACTCTTCCCGAAGGTGGAATACATCGCCAGGGCTGGGTGGACCCAGGACGGCAAGTAGTGAGTGTCTCTGATGGCATCCAAGTCATTCACATTTAGGACCCTGGGTGGACCACTAGCCCCCCGTCATAAGAAACAGGATTTGTCAAAAGAAGGTTTCCCTTTTCACTCACTTCTTAGCCCTTCTGCTCACATCAGGGACAAACATCTCTAAACTCGGACCCTAAACCACAGCCGAGGGCTAAATCCTCACCACCACCTGTTTTTGTGAGGCCAAGAATGGTTTTTACGTTTTTAAATGCTTAAGGGGAAAAAAATCCAAAGAACAGTATTAGCTCAGCACACTGAAAAATGATACGAAATCCACATTTCAGGGTGTGTAAATAAAGTTTTATTATGACAGGGCCACGCTCATTTACAGACTGGCCATGTTCTTGTTACAGCAGCAGAGTTGAATAGTAGGGAAGGACGCTGTGAAGCCCACAGAGCTGAAATATTGCCCTGCTGGCCCCTTTACACAAAGGATGCACTTCCCCTGCTCAGAACACTTGCTGGGCCCCCTTCATAACAGAGACAGCTGGACACAGGCCCAGCGCCTGGGCCGGCCACGGGCTCTCACCAGAATCTCATATCCCTGCGATGTTCTGTGATTTGGTTTTAGCTGCTCCCTGTTTATGTTGAGATGTTGCTTTTCCACTTACAATCCTCACTGGTCCCCATTTAAAATACATTTAAGTTAAAAAGTTGTCCAGTTACACACAGTATGAAATCAAGGATTGCATGGGTGAGGATGTGGCAGAAATTCCCGAGTTTTCCAAACCCTGCTCTAAGATTTTTTTTGTTCTCACTTTTCTTCTAATGCTGCTCTAAAATTTAATGATGAAAGACGTTTCCAGAAGTTGGGTTACAGAGTTCTGTCAGCCCTCCTGTCTTCCCCTGAGCATGCATGCCAGCCAGGAAACCTTTGTGTGTTGTGGGGTTACTTGGTCAGGTGCCGGTGAGATCGGCAAAGAGGGGTGTTAGCAGCTTTCTCCTGCTGGCCCTGAGCCCCCGGCTTCTCGTGCCCCCTCTCCCAGTGCCTGGGCCATGCTGCTGGACCGGCCCCAGCAGCGGCTACAGCTCGTGCTCCTGCCCCCGGCCCTGTTCATCCCCACCACTGAGAACGAGGAGCAGCGGGTGGCCTTCGCCAGAGCCGTGCCCAGGAACATTCAGCCGTACGTGGTGTACGAGGAGGTCACCGACGTGTGGATCAACGTAAGGGTGGGGACATCCCGGTGTGCACCCCGAGTCCCACGATGGGCTGAGTTGGCCCCTGTGTGGAGAAGCAAACTCAGACCTCCCCCTGGCCAGGGAAGGAGAGTCCATGGGGACTGACTGGGGTTGGCCTCCATGGAGCCCGAGCTGTCAGGGCCTCACCTTCCTCAGCAGGGCACACCCCCACCTCCTGACGTCTTCTCTCTTCTGCCCGGACAGGTTCATGACATCTTCTATCCCTTCCCCCAGTCAGAGGGAGAGGAGGAGCTCTGCTTCATCCGCGCCAACGAATGCAAGACTGGCTTCTGCCACTTGTACAAGGTCACTGCCATGTTAAAGCCCAGCGGCTACGACTGGGACGAGCCCTTCAGCCCCAGTGAAGGTGAGCAAAGCCTGACGAGCACCATTGCTCTTTGAGGCAGCTGTCTGTAGTTCGGTACAGTTTGTTCTCTGATCCTGCCCTGTGTTTGAACTGGCCACAAGGGAGGGGGCAAATGAGTAAGATGCCAGCCTTTTCTCCACATCCTTCACAGCCTGGTGAGGGTTATAATCAGCTATGCGTTCATTCAATCAAAGGTAGTTATTGAGCACCTACCACGTGTTAGGCCCTTCTCATACCAGGGGTCCACAGACTACAGCCACAGGTCAATTCTGGCCAACTGCCTGTTTCTGTAAATAAAGTTTTATTGGCACATGGTCAGGCCCATTCATTTACCTGTCATCTGTGGCTGCTTTCATGCCACAATGGCAGAGTTGAGTAGTAATCCAAAAACAATGAAAGATGCTGTCCTGGGAGTGATGAGCATGAGAAAGGAAATGCAGTGGGATGAGAGGTTAGAGAGCGAGGGGCTTTCTTTCTAAAACAGGAGGTCAGGAAGACATCACTGGGTCATGTGCCATGGAACAGAGACCTGGAGGACATGGTGGAGGAGGTGGAGGCAGCCACACAGAGCGCTCCAGGCCACAGGAGCAGCCTGTGCAAAGGTCCTGGGGCAGGACTGTGCCTGGTGTGTTGGAGGAACAGTGAGGAGGCCCTTGTGGCTGGAGCAGAGTGAACGAGGGGGAGAGAAGGAGGAGGTGAGGGCAGGGAGGGGACAGAGGCAGATCATGCAGGGCCTTGTGGGACACAGGGGGACTTGGGCTTTTATCATTGATCTGTACCAGTTTAAAGTGATTCCTGTTGCTATGTGGAGCATAGCCTGAGGGACGAGGAGAGGGGACAGGGACTGGGGTCCGGCAGTGGGGCTAGGCCGACCCACGTGATTGGATTCTGGATGCATTTTGACTGCCGAGCCAACACAGTTTGTTGGTGGATTTTGGATTTGGGGTCAGAGAGAGAGAGAGGAAGGCACGGATACCTTGAAGAGTTTTAGAGGTCCAGTCTGAGACAGAAAGACTCTAAGAGGGACAGTTTTAGGAGCGAAAAATCCTGAGCTGGGTTTTGGACATGTTCAAGGTGAAGTGCCCAATAGTGGGAATGCTGAGTGGGCAGGTTCCCGTGCTCAGGGGAGCAGAATGGATTCGCAGTGGGAGTGTGGTCGTCCTTGCACTTGGATGGCATCTCAACTTCAGGACAGGATGGAGCAGCAAAGGGCCGAGCTTAGGTAGGGAAGTGGTATGGTATGGGAGCCAAGCCAGGGCCCTTCAGGATTGGAGCAGGGTCCCCCATGGGCACTGCTGACATCAGGGCCAGGTCATTTTCTGGGGTAGGGGGCGTCCTGGGCACTGTGAGGAGTTTAGCAGCATCCCTGGCCCCACCCACTTAGTGCCAGGAGAACCCTTTCCCCAGTCTTGACAATCATAGATGTCCCCAGACATTATTCAGTGTCCCCTGGTTCATAGTTGCCCCAGGATCGCCCTACAGGTTAGAGGTAGAGCCCACAAATGAGCCTGAGGCAGCCACCAGCACAGGGGACAAAGACCTGAGTGAGAGCATGGCTAGGATGCCAGGAACCAAGGGGAGCCTGAGGGTCAGGAACAAACGAAGCCACAAGCTATAAGGGGTCGAGTAAGACAGGGACTGAAGAGTGACCGCTGTCTCGGCATTGTCACTCGAAATGCAGCTGTCACAGGCCAGCTGAATCATCTCCAAGGAGTATTTTCTTTGGCTTGTTGGTGTTTTTGCTTTTTGATTTGTCTGTTAACTTAATGGCCACCCCCACCTAGCATTGGGAGATGTCACTTGGAAAGTCCTTATTTCTGCCTCTTGTAATGGGCTGGCTGAGAGCTGGCATTTTGCCTGGTGGCTGTTGAGTGGAGCTCGCCATAGGTGCCTTTCAGGGGACCTGCTTTTGAGGTGGACACACCTGGTTTCCCATCTGCCCTGTGCAGGGATCCCTAACTGTGTCCCCAGCTCTCACTTTCTGTCACATGGCTCATGCCTGCTTGATGGCAACTGGGTATTTGAGAAAGCATGACGTCACTTGCTTTGGATCAGAAGGAATGAGTTTCTTAAAGGCAACATCGGGGTGTCCCGGTGAGGTAGGATGGGGTCAGGAGACTGGAGGGATGCATGAGGAGAGCGACAGTGATGGTGCTGGCAGGAAGAGTGTGCCCATGTGACAAGGTGGCTTTTGTAGAGGATAGTCCTGCTAGAGAGGCCCCTACAGGTGTGGTCAGTGGGACTCTGAGCCGAGAGAGTCATGGGCCTGAATCTGGATGGCCAGGGAAACTCAGAGAGCGAAAGCGGGTCAAGGTTCAGAGAGGGTTGGAGCGAGGCAGGGGGACCAGCCAATGGAGCCATCGCCCAGGCCTCAGCAGGGGGACTCGTGGAGACCTGGAGAATTGAGGAGGGGAGCCAGCCTAGGATGCACAGGCTGTAAACTAGCACTTGGCAAGTTGATGGGGGCCGACCTGGAATGTGTGGGCTCTGGTAAGTTTGCTGTGGTGGAATTTGATCTCAGTGCTTTGAGTCCCCATCAGCTTCGCAGAGCCCCCTTTACCTGCTTTCCTTTCCTTACTTCCAGATGAATTTAAGTGCCCCATCAAGGAGGAGATTGCGCTGACCAGCGGTGAATGGGAGGTTTTGGCCAGGCACGGCTCCAAGGTACCAGAGTTTCCATACACACGTGTATATGCACATGTGCACAGACACACATGCGCTCCGGTCCCCCTCCAGACCCCATGCTGTGGTGCCGCCCCCCCCGTCTGGCCACTCCTCCGCCCTGCTCTGCTCTGTCCACAGCTCCAGCATGCCCAGGGCCACAGGGACTGCGGTTTTGACCATCTGGACACACTCTGGGTCCAGGCAGGATACAGGGGCTGTTCTGAACCCCCATTGTTGGATCCCAGTGGGTGGGGCCTGGACCATTCCAGGGTCGTCTTCATCAGTTAACCTGCTCCTTGAAACCACTTGTACCTGGGAGAGCAGTTTGTGGGACACTCAGGGTGCCTACTGTGGGATCATCCCGCAGCTACCGACCAGGGCCCACCCCCATGCCTGCCCCCAGGAGGTTTGGGAACAAAGGAAGCAGCCTCGGAGGAGGCAGCATACCTTCCACTGCCCCAAACGCACCATCATAAAAACATGGCAAGACTTTGGCTCTGACCACAGTGTCTTCACTGAGCACCAGGTCTACACAATTCCAGATTTTACAGAGGGCCCCCTTAATCATACTTCCTGGCTCCCTACGTCACACCAGCATGAATGCCTCCTGGACCAAAGGCAGACAGAGATGTTAGCACTCACATATGCATCAAGCACGATTCATATGGTGAGAAATAGCGGGCAGTAAACCCTGAGCAGTGACACCGGTAGGTCCGGGCTCCATGGACAACCGTGCTAATTACAGTTAACCACACCTGGTGGAATGCCCTGTCACCAACTTGTAAAGACTTCACTACAAATTGTTGGGAGAGAAGCAAGTTATAAAACCGTGGAGCTCAGTCGCGATTCTGTCTGATTTCACATTCGCAATTTGATGTGTGAGGTGAGGGGGCGTTAGGCACCCAAGAGTCAAAGGGCAGTCGCCTGCTCACAGTGGCTCTGCTGTGGTGCAGCTGGTCTTGCTAGAGGTGCCCCCCGGCTCATAGTCCAGCCCTGACCCTCATTAGCCTGGGAAACTGAGACTCCATTTCCTCATCTGTGAAATGGTGCCATCCAGTAGCTCTGATTCTTTCATCTTGACGGGCAGCTTCTCCCCCTTGGCACTGCTGACATAAGGGCCGGGTCACTCTCTGTGGGGGCTTCCTGGGCACTGTGGGGGGTTGAGCAGCATCCCTCGGCCCTACTCACTCGATGCCAGGAGCACCCCCAGTCGTGACAAACACAGATGTCCCCAGACATGGCCAGGTGTCCCCTGGAAGCAGAATCTCCCTGAGTGAGGACCCTGCTTTAAAGTAATTTGAAGCCCTTGGCTTACACGGCATCTGGCATACAAGCCTGTATTACTTACTACCTTTCTCTATCTCTGAACATTTTACTGTTGGCATGTCTTATCTTTTTACCCAGAAATTAAAGAAACAAAAGAAGCAGCAGCACTTAAAAATTTTTTTAAAGGGAAAGTGACCTTCTAACGTCCCCATCTGAGGCAGTGTGTTTCCAGCCTGTTTCAGCACTGCTTCCCCCACCCTACCCCACCCCCTGCCCCGGAAGGCCATGGCCTCGATGGGTCCCAACACCTAGAGAGCGAGCGTCTCCTTTCCCATTTCTGCTCCTTTTCACATTGTCCTTGTGACAAAACTGGTGGCTCATAACTCCGTGTGGCTTGGGGTCTTCCAATGACATCCTCTATTTCTGGGAAACCTGCATTTATTGAAAAAGTACAGTAATGAGTACATCAGTGCTTGTTGTAATAACTGAATCGTTCTAGATAAGATTCAGGTCAGAATCCCCTTCAGTCCTTACCTCAAACCCTGTAGCCTCTTCCCTTCCTCGGAGGAGACCGCAGAGGGAAATCACTGCAGACCTTTCCTATTTGCACGTGTCATTTTAGGGGATTTGTAAAGGCTTTTAGAAAATACAGTTTTTTGTGGTCACAGAATTACACCATGATTATGAGATCAATCCCACCTCTTTGGACATTCAAGTTGTCACCTTTCTTTAGCCCTAAGAGCACTTTAAGCATCTTTGTCCCTCCATTTTGAAGGCCCCTCCCAGGTGAAGTCCTCAGGAATAATTCCCAAAGGGCATAATTGCCAGGTCAGAGGACACACTGTTGCCCGGTTGGCACCAGAAAGGCAGTACTTATTCCCAGCTCCAGACCAGGGTTCTTTCCTCCTGAGGGCATCACCTAAGAACCACACAGGACCTAATGAGGGTTCCCCAGCAAACCTGTGCGGCAGGGAGTGCCACCTCTTAACCCCACCCATCTAGGTGAGGGGTGGGCTGACCCCATTGGGACCAGGGCCTGGGTCTGGCAGGCCCTTGGGCCCAGGACAGCCCCTCCCTCAGCCTCTGTCCAAGGTATTGGGCCCTCATCTCTCACCGACTACTCTGGGCACACCTGGAGGAGCTGTCCGGGATTCTGATTCCAAGTCACCTCAGGACGTGTGGTTAGCCCAATAGATTGGGGTCTGTTCCTGCCTCACGGGGTCCGAGAAGTACGTGTCTCCCAAACATTTCTCCAGTCACCTACGGGGAGAATGGTTCTCTTGACCGCAGAATGCTGGGCCTTCCCTGTGGGGGCAGGGAGAGGTGCAGGGGCCGTGGGAAGGCAGGCACAGGAAGCTTGCGGCAGCTTCACAAGGAGCACCTGTGCCCCCATAGATCTGGGTCAATGAGGAGACGAAGCTGGTGTATTTCCAAGGCACGAAGGACACGCCCCTGGAACACCATCTTTACGTGGTCAGCTACGAGTCAGCTGGTGAGATTGTGCGCCTCACCACACCCGGCTTCTCCCACAGCTGCTCCATGAGCCAGGTGGGTACTCCCCCAATCCCTAATGTGCCCAGCGGCATTGTTCCTGCACCTACCTTTAGCCTCTCAGAACATTCTAGAGCATTAAGCAACAGCTGACCACCAGGCCACTGCCCGTCCAGGGAAAGCCCTTGGTAGCAGTTTGCTGACTGTAGAACCAGTGAGATGCGTGGGCTGTGGCATCAGAAGGTTCTGGTTCTGAGTACCTGGGGCCCCTGGCCAGGGGACAGATTCCTCTTGGCCTCAGTTTACTTGTCTGCAAAATGGGGGTGATGTTAATAACAGCCACCCCACATGGGTGGAGTTTTGAGGTTTAAATGAGCAAGCCCATGGGGTAAAGATGGTAAATATTCAGTGAAGGTTAGTGTTTGATGAGGCAAAGGGCGCAGAAGTGGAGGGGGGAGGGGAGAGGTACTCAGTGTCCCCATCTTCCCGCAGAATTTCGACATGTTTATCAGCCACTACAGCAGTGTGGGCACGCCACCCTGTGTGCACGTCTACAAGCTGAGCGGCCCCGACGACGACCCTCTGCACAAGCAGCCGCGGTTCTGGGCCAGCATGATGGAGTCGGCCAGTGAGTAGTCCCAGACCCCTAGGACATTGAACTTGGGAGCCACAGCTTGCCCGTCTGTAAAATGGAATGTGGCCCTGTTAAGTAATGCTGGTGAGAGGGGTTGACCTGGCATGTGTAAGGCAGGGCCAGCCTGGAGCCCTGCCTGCTCAGCACCCCCAGCACCCAGGCCCCTCCTGGGAGCCCCGAGAGCTCATCATTGAGCATGACCACTGGCCCCGACTGTCTGTGGGCCCAGCCACCTGGGACTGTCTCTCATTTCTGCACTGCGGTTAAGGACTGCACCACACAAAGCAGACTCTGTTCAGGAGCCAACTCTGCCAGACACAGGGGGCCCTGTAGGGGACATCCTTGTCCTCGGGGCTGCTATCTCCAGGAGCACAGAGCAGATACTCTGGAGCCTTTGTGGAAGGAGGTGGGGGAGCGGGGGTCAGTCCCAAGTAGGGCCTTGGGGAACAGGAGGCAGGTTGTCAGTTTGTCCAGGAGCCTGGAGGGTGGCCTGGACTCTGGTGGGGTGACCCGGGTTCTAATTCAGAACCATAGGCAAGTCACCTGTCTTGTTAAAATGTTCCTTAATCTACAAAATGGTATAGTGGCCGTTAGTAGAATGAATGAAAATCAAACCCTCATTCCAGTGCTTTGCACACAGGAATCGATCCCTGAAAGGGAAACCCTTCCCTGACCCCAGCCCTGCCACTTGCTAGATTTCCAGATGTTCTAGGAAATAAGTCCTGGCATTTGTAGAGTGTTTCATGGGCTATAAAAAAAGCATCTTGTTACATCATCACCCCCTGGAACCTAAATAGATAAAAGTCCTCTCCACCCAATAGCTCAGGCCCTGACTCCCCACATCACATGGGACGTGTTGGAGTAGTACCCTGGGCCCTGGTTTTATAGACAAGGAAGTGTCCTGAAGCCCAGCCCTGGGTTTAAGGCAGATGGACTAGGGCACCATTTCCTGAAAATGCTGATTGTGCTGTGTTTACAGGTCACCTCTATGAACAGTTAGCAAACTACAGCCCTTGGGCCAAATCCCGACATGCCCTGTATTTATGCATCATCTGTGGCTGCCTTAGTGCCCCAACCGCAAAGCTGAGTTGTTACTGCAGAGACACAGGATGTCTCCTTGGCACTTAAAGCCAAAAAATACTCTGCAGCCCTTTCCAGAAAACATTTGACAACCCGTGACCTACATTATAACTTATTTAACTTTTAAATCCACACTGTTTGCCTGAATAAACATATCTTAGAGAAAACTTCTCACCATCATCATTGGAACACCAGTGTTGTTTTGCAAAAATGAAGGTAACTAGAAATCAGAGAGAAGCAGACCATGAAAATGGCTGTTAGACAAATCCCAGGACTGTTGTCACCTCCATGGGGCATCAGCCAGCATTGGGCTGCTGGAGCTGGTTCCAGCCAGGCTGTGGCCTGGCGAGTGCATACCCACAGGGAGCAGGTCACTTCCTGCCCTCAGATTCTGATTTAAACCTTCGGGAAGTACAGGATGGGGTGCCTCTGATCCGCCCTTTGCGGCTGGGGGCCAAGCAGTGGAGTGTGGGTGTCGGCTGGCTGTTGGCTCCCACCCAAATAGCCACGGCCACTGTCTCCGCAGGCTGTCCCTCAGATTACGTGCCCCCGGAAATCTTTCACTTCCACACACGGTCAGATGTGCGCCTCTATGGCATGATCTACAAGCCACATGCCGTGCAGCCAGGGAAGAAGCACCCCACGGTCCTCTTTGTGTATGGAGGCCCCCAGGTAGGTGCCGGCCCTGCTCCCCACATGGGACCCTCCCTCCATGCCAGGATTCGGATGTCCCACCCCATCTGCACTGACGACACAGGGCTCCAGGCCCTTCATGCTTCTGCCTCTAGGTGTCTGCACACCTTTCCTCCTGGATGACCACCCCCTCCCCCTTTACCTGCTCGTGCTACCTTGTCCCTCTGGGAAGCCCCACTGACCCCCATGTGTTCATCTGGTCTACCTGCCTAGCAGTGACCCACTCTCACCCCTGGACACCAGCATGGGGACAGAGGTAGCCATGAACCCTAGGCCCCGTTCTCTGAGAAGGGGGCAGGCCAGCAGATTTGGCTGGCAGATTGGCAGGTGGGTCCATCTAAGACAATGGTTCTCACTCGTGTTGTTCTGTCCCCCAGGGTACACTACGTGATGTCTAGAGACATCTGTATTTGTCACAGCTGGGGTGGGGGAATGCTCCTGGCGTTGAGTTGGTGGAGGCCGGGTATATTGTCATCACCCTCCAGTGCCCAAGAGCCCCCCCTCCCCTCCATACACACACAGAATAAGGCCTTGAATATTAACAGTGCCACAGTGAGGAGCTGGTTCAAGTCAAGTTCCTGAAAGAGCAACTGCCGCTGCCACCAGCCCACCACCCTCCCCCACCAGTTTTTATGTCTTTTTCTTTAGAGATAATTGAACAGTAGAAAAGAGGTAAAACATGGCTGAAGAAATACGGGAGGATTCCGGGCAGGGCCCAGCTGAGAAGGGAGTGTGATTGGGGCCTTCCTCTCTGTAACATGTTCCAGGCACAAGGCATGGTGCAGCGTGGGCCCCCGTCTCACCTTCCACTCCCCGCATCCAGAACCCTTCCAGGCCATCCATAGCCTTCACAATAAAGTACAGGCTCTTTGGTTAGGCTGTAAGACCCCTGGCTCTGTCCCACTGGCATCTGACCCGTTTTGCCCATCCTTCCTGGCATCTCATGCTGGATTGCTCACCACTCACCCAAAGCCCCATGTCCTCTCTCCACCTTTCTCCCACAGGTGCAGTTGGTGAATAACTCTTTCAAAGGAATCAAGTATTTGCGGCTCAACACACTGGCGTCCCTGGGCTATGCTGTGGTTGTAATTGATGGCAGGGGCTCATGTCAGCGGGGACTTCGGTTCGAAGGGGCCCTGAAAAACCGAATGGTAATTTCTCTTCCCAGCCTCTCTAGGCCTTTCCTGTGTGGTGAAGGGAGATCTGGGGTGTGTTGGCCCTGAGGCATTTCCCTCAAGGAACACCCTAGCCAAGATGCCAGGTGCATTTGGGGTGGCCTTTCGGAACCAAAAGGAACATCTGCTTTGCTGCTCAGCTCTGAGCTTTGCCCTATGGGGAGACAGGTGTACCCACCTGGTGCCTGAGACCCAGACACAGCCAGACATGTCATTATAGGCCCAGTCAGCAGGAAGCGCCAAGGGCTGGCCTAGCCAGGGACTGGTAGCTGTAGAAGTGGTGCTAATGGTGATGATGGTGGTGGTGATGGTGGTGATGGTAATTGAGATTGTGATGATGGTGAGATTGATGATGCTATTGCTGATGGTGGTGATAATAGTTGTATTGATGGTGATGGTGGTGGTGATGGTGATGATGTTGGTGATGGAGATGGTGATGAAGGTGAGACATGATGGTAATGACGCTGCTGCTGATGGTGGTCATGGTGGTGGTGACGATGATAGTGGTTGTGGTGGTGGCAATGATGATGGTGATGATGATACCAGCTGTTTATTGAGCCTTAGTAGGTGCTGGGCCCCTGAGTGTAGGACACTCACCATTTTGTGTCATCCTTACACCCGCTGTAAAATGGGTCCTATTCAAGTTAACATGCTCATTTTTGGGATATGAAGACTGAGGCCCAAAGAGGGGATGTGACTTTCTCAGAGTCACTCAGCCAGGAGGTAGCAGGGCAGGGTTGGTGCCAGGCCTGTCTAACCACCACCCCAGAAAGCAGGCCAGATGTGAACAGGGCCTTGAGAAAGGAGTATCTTCCAGAAAGCTGCTATGATCCAAGAGGGAGAGGGCTCCCCGAAAGGGACAGAAGTGAGATAGCAGTGCACACACCCGGGAAGAGGCCACTGAGAAGTGCCCGGCCTCGTCCTCCAGGGCCAGGTAGAGATCGAGGACCAGGTGGAGGGCCTGCAGTTCGTGGCTGAGAAGTATGGCTTCATCGACCTGAGCCGGGTGGCCATCCATGGCTGGTCCTACGGAGGCTTCCTCTCGCTCATGGGGCTGATCCATAAGCCCCAAGTGTTCAAGGTGGGTCCTGCCCCCACCCCTGCCCTCCTCTCTGCTGTCTCCTGCCCGTGCCCCTTGGAGCCCGCCCCCCTAAGGGAGGCACCTCGGCAGGGGCCTTGCCACGTGGCTGTTTCTCCCCGCAGCAGCCCCACGGGGCCGAGCCCCCCTCCTCATTGCCCGCCACTGCTGACCCCAAGACGGCATCCGGCTGCACAAAACCCCGCCAGCAGCTCTCTGTGGGAGGCTGAGCCTGGGACCCCCGGCCTCGGATGGGCAGAGGTGGGGCATGGTGTGAAGAGCGTCGGGGGAGGGGCCCCCAGGCCGGCAGCACTGTCCGGGCACCGCGGGGCGGCGATGAGGAGGAGGAGGCAGGAAGGCAGTGGGACCAGGGAGGGGCCGATCCCGGCCTGAACACACCCATTCAGCTCACCCGCCCTCCCTCAACAGCGCACAGTCCACGGGGACACACGGTCTGAGGGCCCCTCCCTGCCAGCCCCCGTGTGCATGCCTGCTCCTCATGTCCTCTGGGGAGGCCCGGGACAGCCGGCCGAGTGCAGGCGCCTGGGAACTGACCCATGTGCGTGTATCTCTCTTTTCTTTCTCTCTCTCTCTGCCCCGTCCATCCACTGTGGCCCTCAGGTGGCCATCGCAGGTGCCCCAGTCACAGTCTGGATGGCCTACGACACAGGATACACAGAACGTTACATGGATGTCCCAGAGAACAACCAGCTTGGCTACGATGCGGGTTCCGTGGCCCTGCATGTGGAGAAGCTGCCCAATGAGTAAGGCCCCACGTTCCCTGGAAGTGCAGAGCCACTGAGGCCTTCCCACTCCTGACACTGTGCTCCTGTGGCTTCCGCTCCTTCTCTCTGCTTGAGCCTTAAATCCCTCCCGTGGCCCTCTCCTTCCTGCTCCTCATAGGAAGTGGGCACCTGGGCGCTGTGGGAGGGAGGCCCCCAGCCCTGCTTTCAGAAAGATGGAAGGAAAGTTCTAGATTTGCACCATTGCATATGAGGGCTACCCTCACCTCCTGAGCACACGGCCCGCCTGGGCTTATCAGTCAGTCTTGAACCTGAGCAGCCCTGACTTGTGGGTTTTGACACTTTGTGGTTCAGTACCCAGGTCCATGTGGTTATAATATCCGGGTCCGTCAGACCAGCTCAGTGTCCCATGTCACGCTTTCAGCATTAGCAACTGATCCTCTGACTGAAAGAAAACAGTGTTGCCACTTCCTGCTCTGGCTCTGTCTGAGTGCATGCCCGGGTCCCATGACTTTTGTGGGGAGTCCCCATCATAGGCTGACCCCGCCTGGGTCCCACTCCCAGCAAGGCTGCTCTCTCTTTGGTTTAGAGTGTGGCCTGGGCTTCCTGGGGATGTCTGTGTGCCGCCAAGCTTGGAACCCCTGCTCTAGACCTGTGTCATCCAGTATAGAAGCCACCGGCCACACGTGGCCACTTGAATTTAAGTTCACATTCGCTCACATCCAGTGAAATAATAAATCCATCGAGACAGATACAGTATGATGGTTGCCAGGTGATGGGGGTGACTGCTGTTGGGCACTCCTTTGGGGTGATGGAATATTCTGGAACTAGATAGAGGTTATGGTTTGCACAACCTTGTGAACGTACCAAATGCCCATGAATCGTTCACTTTAAAACCAGATAATTTTAGGGCCGGCCGAGTGGCTCAGTTGGTTAAGAGCTCGCTCAAGAGTTTGAGCTCTGAGCAACAGCAGTTCGATTCCCGGCCTGAGCTGAGCATGTGTGGAGGTGCTCAGCTTTAAAAAAAAAAAAAAAAGATTAAAACCAGATAATTTTAGGCTATGTGAATTTTGCCTCAATAAATTATTTTTTTAAACCGAAGTGTTAAAAAATATAGTTTCTTGTCCACCCTTGCCCCATTTCAAGTGCTTAGTAGCCACATGTGGTGATGATGGTGATGATAGTGACTGTGTTGGATCGGGCAGGTCTAGAATATTCCGTCATCCCAGAGTGCCTCAGAGTGGCAGTGTTCTAGAAGCTTCCCTGTAGCTTAGGGCTTTGTATCCACAGCTACACACACACCCGTCTCCCCTCCTTGACTAGAAGGAAATGAGGGGGTCTCCCTGACTCACCAGTCACGCGCCCCTGCTTTCCGTTCCACCACTGTCGCTTCCATCCTCACTTACCCGGGGCTGGGGAGGGCCTCTGGGATGAACTGCCTCAGGGTGGGAGAAGAGGGTCCCCCACCTCAGACCCTCACCTACCTTGTCTTCCAGGCCCAACCGCCTGCTCATCCTGCATGGCTTCCTGGATGAGAACGTGCATTTTTTCCACACAAACTTCCTCGTTTCCCAACTGATCCGAGCAGGAAAACCTTACCAGCTTCAGGTGGGTGGCTCCTGGACACTTCCGGGTCCCTCTCAGGAGCAAGCAGGGTGGGCAGCAGCGATCAGGGCGGCGTCACTTCCCAATGCACTTGCTACCTGTCGCAGATCATCTGTGGTCACCCTGCACTGCCAGCCTCTACCCCGGCCCTGGGCTCCCTGAGTCCTCACATTCATTCGTCCTTTATTCAGCAATCATGCATTGACGGCTCCCCGTCCACACTGCCCTCAGTGCTGGAAACAGCAAGGGAACACGGACAAACCTACCACAGCCCAGGGTCTGGTAGAAAGAGGTCGTTGCTACCAAAATTATCACACAAGCATTATGTTTTATTTTAAACCAAGAAACTTGCTTTGGAGAAACCGTCCAGGATGCTGAAAGCATCTAGGTGGGATGTTACCTTGACAGAGGTGTCAGAGAAGAATTCACAGAGGAGGTGACATTTAAGGATGCTAAAGAGTGAGTTGGGGAGTCAGGCAGGCCAGGAAGGGGTGTGTGTGTGGAGGATACCAGACACAGGAAACTAGCCGGAGGGAGCAGCCTTGGGACAGGAGACCCGGGTGGTTGGGGGAGTAACCTGGAGAGGAGCTGAGGACCAGGGCAGGGCAACTAGCTGGGGCCTCAGGTAAGGGGTGGGGCAATGGGAGGGGCCTTGGTAGGCGGTTAGACTTTGGCATTAAGGGGATGGGTCTTGGATGAGGGGCAGAGCCTTGACTGGATTTTGTTCTAAGGGTGAGGAGACATGTCCAGGCCTGGGAACAGGACTGTGACCACTCTGCTTGTCATGTGACCAGCATCCCTCTGGCTGCCCTGTAGACAGGGGCCAGTGAAACATAAGCCATAGTCAGTTGTGGCAGGAAAATGGGAAGCAAGAGGCCTGGTGGATTCTGGAGGAAAGAGGGACAGAGTTTATCACATGCTACCACCACGACATATGTCTTCTTTCCAGATACCTCCATGCCCTCTTTCCTGTCAGGGGAGTGCCAACAGCTGAGGGTCAGGAGGCACGGGCTTCAGGGATCTGTGGCAGGGCGTGTACTTGCCAGACATACAAGTAGCAGGAGGGAGGCAGAGCTCCTGGGGGCGTGAAGAGCTATTGGAGTGCCTCTTGGCAGCCCCCTCCCCAACCGCACATGCCCCTCGTAAACAGGCCAGAGGCAGGTGCAGATCAGGGTGAAGGTCAGGTGGGCTCAGGATGGAACCTCGAATGTCCTGAGCCTGAAATCCTGAGCTGGGTGGCTGGGGTAGCTGCTCCCTCCCATGTGGCCTTAGGTGGCAGGTCTGTTAACCTCAGGCCTGCTTTCTCATCTATGAAATGGGCACAGTAGCCCCTGCCTCCCAGTGAGGCCGTGGGGGCCAAACTTGTTCTCGGGAAAAGCATCTAGCACTCGGGGTAGGCCCAAAGTCCTGAGCCCCCGCCTCCCCAGGTGAAGTTGAAAGTGAGACAAGACACTGTTGTGGGTGGGAACAGGGCACAGTTTGAGGGAGATGGGTGACACCCCACTTTCTGGTTCAGACACAGTTTGTTCACGCATCATATTTGTCATAGGCCAGGCCCTGAGCTGAGGGCTGGGAGCACAGTGGGGAGCCAGACAGACCTTCTCCCTGCCCTCACAGCCCAGGAGGAGGAGGAAGTAACCAGGTGGCCAGGAGCCAAGGTGGCATGAAGGAGTGGGGGCATTGGGGTCTGTCTCAGGCAGTGCCAGTGTCCCAGGTGGCAAAGGTGTGGGGCCTGTGAGGATATAGGAACAGCAGGAACCAGGAGGCCAGGTTGTGATGTGAGGCTGGCAAGTCCTTGCAGAGCTCTGAGCTGGGGTCAGTCTAATCAGACTTGTGATTCATCCAGGGATGGATTAAAGAAGGCAGGTGTGGAGGAAGGGAGAACTCTGGGCAATTGAATGCATTTCCAGGGTAATGGGCTAGGGCAGTGGCATGGGCCCAGAGAAGAAGGAATAGTTTCGTTCAGAAACCTATCTTGCTGGCAGGAAGAGGCAAGGAGCGGGCCTCTTGGTCCTGGTACCAGTCAAGTTCTTTCGGAAAGTCCGGAGCAAGTTTTATGCCTGTCCCACGAGCCCCCAGGGCCCATCCAGGGGCTCTTGGAGTGTGGGAGCCCTCACTTCATGGCCAGAGGCAAGACCTGTGCTGCTGTTGCCATCCACCTGGCCATCACCTCAGCCAGATCTCAGGGACTGGGTGATTTTTAGGGTGTGGCTGTTGACACCAACATGTTGCTACCCCTCTCTGGGGATGATTCCCTTTGCAGTGGTGAGCGAACCCAGAAAACACTTGACAAAGCTTGGGAGGAGGCTGTGCTGGGGGCCTTGATGTGTGCAGCCCAAAGGTGGCCTTTTGGTAAAGTGGAAATGGCTCCTGAAGTTTGCAGTCCCACCCCCTCCACTGAGATGGGTTCACGGCACCTCCCCAGGTTTGGGGGATAGAATGGCAGTACTGTTTCTTCATCTTTCATATGTGCAAGTGCTCTGTGTTTTAGAGACCCTCACAAAGACCCAGCAAGGTTCAAATTCTTGACCCCGTTGTTGAGGGGGCTGGCTGTAGCCAGGGAGGTGGTCACATACCCAGAGTTACACAGCAAGTGGGCCTGATTTTGTTAGCTCCAGAGCTTGTGCTCTTCTGTCTTTCCCCAGGGTGGGGGGAAGGGGGGTGATGCAGGACCCCAGGGAAGCCCAAGCTAGAAAGGGGAAGGGGCTCCAGGGTGCAGAGTTTCTTGATGCCATCAGTCCTGCCTTCTCTGTCCACCCAGATCTACCCCAACGAGAGACACAGCATCCGCTGCCCCGAGTCTGGCGAGCACTATGAAGTCACGCTGCTGCACTTTCTACAAGAACACCTCTGAGGGCCTGTGCGCCCACCCAGGGCGCACACTTAGAGCACAAGTGGCTTCACTGCTGCCACCACTGCCAGGGAGGGAGGGAGGAAGGGAGGGACCCAGCAGGAAGGACCGAATGGCCCCGCAGGCCTCCTGGAGGTGCTGTCCCTGCTGCCGCCTTCACGCCCCGACACCTTTTATTTTTTTTAATGCTCCTGGTTTCTTTGCCTGCTGCTTCTTGGTTGTCAGGATGGAGAGATGAGGCCGACATCCACGAGGCACTTCCTAAAGCCATGCTCTCCTGTCCCTGTTGTTGGAAGCAGAAGGCCTGAACTCCACCGGGCACTGGAGAGGCCAGGTCTTCCTCCTGGGCCCTGACCCAGCCGCCACGCCCAGCATGGAAGCATGCGATTGCCTTTCCTCCCCACCCGCCCCGCTTCCTATTTGTGTTTTGTTTGGGGGAACGTTTTTCATAATTATTTAAAAGACAGAAAGAAAGGGATACCTAAATCTAGAATTGGGGTCTGCTGCCGGGCAACAGGGTTCAGCCCAACCAGCACCTGGCGAGCCCCACCTCTTCCAAAGGAAGGCATGGTGGATGGTGGCCAGCAGTGGGAACGATGCACTGACGCAGGGCAGCCCTCCTGCGCCAGCCTCTCCCCAGCTTTCAGGCAGGCTCTGAACGCGGTCAGCTCCTGTCTGCTGGCCAGCGGCTGCTGCCCGCTCCTCAGCCCTCTGGCCACACGTGTCTGCCTGGCCCTCACAGACCGGGTTCCGGGGTTGGGAGTGGAACCATCCCCTCCTCAGGGTTATTCTTACTCCTTCCTTTCTCTGCCAAGTTCTGCCAGGGGCGGGCAAAAAAAAGAAAAAAAAAACACAAAAAAACAAACAAACCACCTCTACATATTATGGAAAGAAAATATTTTTGTCAATTCTTATTCTTTTATAATTATGTGTGTAAGAAGTAGGCTCATTAAACGATTCCAGATGGAAGCGTTGCCACCTTCCTGAGGTTCCTTCTAAGCCCTCTGCTGGTGATGGGGGCCTTCCTGAGTGGGGGGGTCCGGGAAGTGACTGAGCCAAAGGCCTGGTGGTCTTTGCAGCCAGCCTGGGGTAGCCTGGCACAAAAGGGGGAGGGGCACCATGCCCTGGCTGGAAGACGCCCCGCCCCTCATCAGAGTGGTTCGGTGAGAGTCCCAGTGGTCCTGATGTGTCTGTCACTTAGGGATCCAGCTTAGGATGTGGTGGGCGGCCAGGGCAACAGCACTACCTGAGGTGCAACATCCTGGCTGGGTGTTCTGGCGGGCCACCGTTCCTTCCTTTTGCAAGTGTGCTTGTCCAGAGGCTTCACTTGGTGATTTGGGGGACAGGAAACCCCTTCATGTTTTCCCAATAGCTGAGAGACTGGAGACTGCGTAGATGGCGGCTCTCATGGTATTTGAGTGTCTAACAGCAGGATGGTCTCTCTCAGCACGATCACCCTCTCCATCCTTTGGGAGGCTACACTTTTATTTTTAATGGTCTAAAAAATATATAAACTTCAGTGCAAAAGGATAGAGGAAAGAAGCCCTCTCCCAAGTGGTAACCCCTGGGTTACCTCTTTTTAATAGTTAAATTCTATTCAGCTTTGTGAATGTGCCATAATTTATTTTACTAGGCACCTATCAAGGGATAACTGGTTATTCTGGGCTTTTTGTATAAATCGGATCAGCAGGCTTTCTCTGTAAAGGGCCAGATAGTAAATATTGTGGGCTTGGTAGTCTGTTGCAACTACTCAGTTCTGCCTTTGTAGTTCAGAAGCAGCCACTGACGATATGTTTAAATGAGAGGGCGTGGCAGCATGCCAATAAAACCTTATTTACAAAACAGGCCACTGGTAGAAATGATACTGCAACCAATAGCTTTGTACGTATTTTGGGCATATGTTTGAGTTTATTGGGTAAATTCTTGAAATTACCAGACGGCATATTCAGTTTTAATTTTGAAGAATATTGCCAAATTGCCTGCCAATGTACACTGAGCCAAGAGGGGATAATTGTGCCTGTTTCTCCATTGCTTCACCTGTATTATGTTACCAAACATTTTTATCTTTGCCAATCTGAGATGAAACTTGGCATCTCACTGTAATTTGAACTCAAATTTCATTCTGGGAATATTTTCACGTTTCAAGACACGTATTTAATAGTAATCATTTGCCCACCTTTCTTTTGATCTATTGGCCTCATTGATTTGTAGACACTATATATGAAGGAGATCAGTTCATTGTCATATATGTTGCAAATTGAACTATGTTGCTGATTTCGAGATGTTTCACAGGTAGGAAACACAGCCAATGAATGTTTAAAATCATCTCTGGAACAAGACGTCTCAATCCACTGAAATAAAGTGGAGAGAGACCTAGTCAGAATCACAGAGTGATAGAAACTGGTGACAAAGGGGACACTGGGGTTGCCCCAGGAGACTTGGCAACTGGAAACCCAAAATCATCTCAAAGCAGGAACCGTTCATCAGAACCTTCCACCCCTGCCTCCCTCAGTCAACACTCAGATCATGAGACAGCATCCGTTGGCCAAACTTCAGCCGCATTCCTGCCCTGACAATGAGGTCCTGAGAGGTAAGTGGGGTACAAACAGGAAGAGGGAATGGATGATGGGCAGCTACAGTAGGAGAGGTCTCTGTTTCTCCGAGGTGGCAGGTTAGAGGTTTCTGTTTCTTCTAGGTTGACACGTGTTTTTCTCGCACTCGTGGGGTTGCTGTCAGCAGGAGGGTCCCTGATGCTGTTTCAGGTTCCTGTGCACGTGCTTGATTCCTTTCCTGGTGGAAGTGCTCATCTCTTCCCTAATTGGCCAGAACCCATATGCGATAGACATAAAACCCTGTGTTGTATCTGTTGCAGATATTTTCCTGGTTTTTCCTTTGTCTTTCAAACATGTTTATGGTATTTAAGAAAATAACTATACACACATAAGAAGTTGCAAAAATAGTACAGAGTGTCCTGTGTACCGTTCATCCAGCTTATATCTTACCTAACCATAGTATATTGTCAAACCAAGAAACTGACAGTACAGTGCAATTAACTAGACTCAAAACCTTATTTGCATTTTATTGGCTTTCACATGTGCTCATTTCTGTGTTGCATGTATAGTTCTTTTTCACTTTGTCACCTATACAGATTCCTATACACCACCACAATCAAAATATGAACTGTCAATTCACCACCACATGGAGTTCTCTCATGTGACCCCTTTATATCCACACTCACCCAGTTTATGGTGTCCTGACTATAGAGAAGTCTGTGATATTTGTATCATCAGTTGTTTGCTTTAGGACTGTTAGATACCATGTCAAGAAAGCAGGATCTTTGGAATGATGGCTTTTTCTTTTAATTCACTGTGTGGTGGTTTTTGTTTTTGTTTTTTGGGGGGGAGGGGATGTATTTTGTGTATGGCAAAAAAAGAAAAACGAGGCATGGGGCTCAGTATTTTTAAAAAGAAACACACACACCCTCAGTAGGAAACTCGAACAGTTCACAATTGAAATACAGTATCTTGTTAGTGACAGCTCTTGGACACTGAATTCTTCATAGTGACAAACAAGGTCAGACAGCAGTGAGGAGAGGAAAGACATGAACGGAATCATGCTGTGCAAAACACTGAAGGAACAGGACAGTTTATCCAGATTATGGAGCCAATTTCAAATGGATCCAAAACAGTTGCAAAGAGGAAATTTCTCAACAGACACAGGAATCCCAATTTAGGACAGGCAGACACTGCTGAAAAGCATGACATCTGGAGTTAGGGTTGTCCGCAGAGTAGTCAGTCTCCTGCAGGAGCCTCCTGACCTCCCTGAAATTGACCATGTTCTGTGTCTGGGAGTATAGAGTTCCTCAAAGAGTGGACTACAGCTCAGCTTAGGGGTTATCTGTGACATTTTCTCTCTGCGTTCTGTTACTTCAAGTCGGGAAAGACTAGGAAAAGCAGCTTAATTTTGGAGACCTCAGACCTGGCCATTCGTGTTTTCTTGAAACTCTAAGCAATTTGTGACACGCCCCCCCCTCAAAAAAAATTCCTCTGTAGTCGAAAACCTGGGATTTTTTCATTCTAATGCTAGTTAACAGAATTTTGAGTTCTTAACCTGCATTCCCTCAGTTCATCCTGACAGTCCCTTGAGGTTAGTTCTTTTTTACTTGAGTTTGAAATAATTTTAGGTTTACAGAAAAGCTGCAGGTCTGATGGAGCTCCCTGGTGCCCCTCGCCCAGCTTCCCTCATGCTAACGTCTAATGTAGCCATAGCACAAGCCAGGCTACTGAAGTCAAGAAATCAACATCAGGGGCTGGGCGAGCGGCTCAGTTGGTTAAGAGCTCGCTCAACAGTTTGAGCTCTGAGCAACAGCGGTTCGATTCCTGGCCCGAGCTGAGCAGCCACTGAGCTGCCAACAGGTGGCAGGATGGCTCAGCTAAAAAAATAATAATAATTAACATCAATACAATCTTATTATCCACATATACAGACCTTACTTGGATTTCAGCATTTCTCCCTTTAATGTCATTTTTTTCTGGTACAGGATTGTCACCCCCAAATTCATGTTGAAACCTAACCCCCTATGTAATGGTATTAGAAGATGGGGCCTTTGGGAGATGACGAGGTCATGAGGGTGGAGACCCCATGAATGGGATCAATGCCCTTATAAAAGAGACCCCAGAGAGCTCCCTCACCTCTTCCACCACATGAGGACACAGGCAGAAGCAAGCAGTCTATGAACCAGGAAGCAGAATTTCAGTAGACAGAGAATCTGCCAGAGCCTTGATGTTGTACTTTCCAGCCTTCAGAAATACACCTGTGTTAAGCCCCCCAGTTGATGGTACGTTCGTTACAGAAGCTGAAACAAAGACAAGGATTCCATCCAGGGCCCCATGTTGCATTTAGTTGTCTTGGTCTCATTCTGTGATGGTTCCTCAGCTTTTGTCTTTCATTACATTTTTGAGGAGTACTGCCGGTTATCTTGCAAGACGCCCCTCAAATTGAGTTTGTCTGATATTTGCTTATAATTAGATTGAGGCCGAGCACTTTGGGCAGAAATTCTACAGAGTTGCCACCGATAAGCTGTGTCCTCAGTGCATTATGTGGCCGGTTCCATGATGTCGTAGTATCATTTTTGGTGACACTAACTTTGATCATTGGGCTAGGATGGTGTCTCCGCTGTAAAATTACTCTTTTTCTCTTTGTAATTTAAGTATCTTTAGGAAAATACTTAGAGACTATGCAAATATCCTGTTTCTCATCATACATTTTTCTTTTTAATTGGGGGAGGAGAACAGCATTGGGGAATCGGGGAAGGGGAACAGACAAGTTGCTGTC